GATCTCGCCACACAACCAGACAAAATCAAAGATTCAAGAATGAGACAAACTCCATTATAAGTTGTTAGCCGCCCTGAGTCCCCTCAGGGAAAAGGGCGGCCTATAAATAAACCTATTCCTATTCCTATTCCTATTAAGGTCTGTTCAGTGCTGGTCTTGACATTTTGGAAAGTTAGGAAAAATTTCCCAGTCTTGTTTTTAAATTAGCCAATGATGATAGAATGCTTTTGAACGCTTGAAATGCTTCCCTCCAGATTTTTTCCCCATTTGGATTAAACTGCCATTTATGTGATAAATTGACAACTAACTAACCTACAGTCTCCTGACTGTTTATGTCTGCTCATTCTTCCATTCCTTTCCCAGTCTCCCTGGGTTGGCTAGGAAATTCTGGGAACTGAAGTCCATAATCTCAAAATTGCCCAAGTTAAAAAAAAAAAATTGCACTAACACAGAGGTGTCAAACTCAAGGCCCAGGACCAGATATGGCCCATGGGGTGCTTAGATCTGGCCACGGGGCTGCCCTGGAAACAGAGAAGGACCGACCTGCGGTGACTCTGCCAGCAAAAATGGAGCTCCATTTTCACTGGAAGAGGGTTGCAGGAGGCTGGCACAGCCAAAAAAAACAGAGCTCAGGAGCCCATTTGCTCTGGCAGAGCACTCAGGCCACCACAGGTATCCCAGAGACGAGTGAAGTTGAGCTGGGCACGCCCACCCTGGCCACAGCCACTCCCTACCCGAGGTCAAACACAACCCTGATGTGTCCCTCAATGTAATCGAGTTTGACACCCTTGCACCAACACCTCCTCCCTTCAGCCTTAGTTTACATTTTGCCTGCCAATTCCACAAGCTTTTTGCACAATGCTACTCCGTAAGCTGCCACCATATCTCAGCAGCCCTTTAACCAGGCATCTTCTTCAATTACTTTCGGTTCCTCTCCAAGCAAGTTATATAAAGTGTAGCTTACAGATCTAAATCAACGACGCAGTGAGCTGCAGTGGCCACCACATCATCACCAATCAAACTGCCACCACAGAAATGAGAACGGCCTCGCTTGACGGAGACCTATTCAGCAGGGAGAAAGAGGATGGGAGAAGACAGAAATCAGATCGTTGAAAAAAAAAAGTTTCCAACTTTAAGTAATTGCTATAAGGTAGCCTGGTCAATTAGAAGTTTGATTAGACAGGAGAATTGTGATCAGCAGCCAAGGTTGGTCCTTGTATTCTAGGGAAATCGGTCATAGAACTGAAGCTATATAAATGAGTTTCTCTTGCCAAGGCATTATTAGAACTGAATTGGGGTTTGATATATGTACTAAGCAGTGTATCCTGGACTACAAAGCATTTCCCTTTGACCATTCTACTGTGCAGCTGGTAGATGCATTTGAACCTTCTTGGAGAATTTACTGAGGAACACCTGCTATTTATGGTTTAGCTCTGCACCTCGTCCTCGTTTACCAACCACAATTGGGACCAACCACTCCGTTACTAAGCGAAACTACAACCGTGTTTACGATCTTACTTCGGCTTCCCTTTTGCTTTACAGACCTGTGAAGGTCGCAAATGGACGGATGGGTTGCAAAGTTGCCCTTTCGTCACCCTGATCGCTGCAAAACGGTCGCTGTATGAGACAATCGGTAAATGAGAACGATCTATAAAAGCTGATCTTTGTTTTGTTTTTGTTTTTAAAAAAAGATGAACGGCAGTTCCTGGGAATAGCAATAAGCAATTACAATTAATTTGCTTAATTAATAAATAATTAATAAAAGCAATCATTTTTTTAAAAAAAAGCATAGATACCTGCCATGGTTGCCCTCCTGGCATAGACATTCGTCCTCCAATAATTCTTGAAAAAGACCCAAGTTGTAAGTCATCTTCCAGATCCATGAAGCGAAATCCACATTTTCTTCCTTGGGAAGCAGAAGGGAGGGGAAATGGATTTGAGGGTGTACTATTTTTGGGTTCCACCACAAAACCGCGCTCGACTAAACCGCGCCCGATTAAACTGCATCGCTGACATCATCAACAGGGCGACAACAGCACGGAGACAGAAGCACACTGTAAATCCTAAATCTAAAATTAAGCCCTAAACCTAAACCTAACGCCCCTAAGCCTAATCCTAAACCTAACCCTAAACCTAACCCTTAACCTAACCCTGAACCTAACCCTGAACCTAACCCTAACCCTTAAGCTAACCCTAACCCTAACCCTTAACCTAACCCTAAACCTAACCCTTAACCTAACCCTGAACCTAACCCTGAACCTAACCCTAACCCTTAAGCTAACCCTAACCCTAACCCTTAACCTAACCCTAAACCTAACCCTTAACCTAACCCTGAACCTAACCCTGAACCTAACCCTAACCCTTAAGCTAACCCTAA